GAGCTGCGGCTGTGGTGGAGCCTCCCTGTTGAGCRGGCATTAAGAGCAGGACTGGGCAGGCCCGGGTCTGCAGGCTCTGTTCTAAAGTGAAGGACAGCGTCGTGCAGCAGGCTCTGCAGTTCCTGGGGAACCTGACGATACAAAACCCCTGTTCACACAGCTTTCCTTTCCTGGTTATTGCATGTGCTGAATTCGTGCTTCTTCTGTACAAAGGGTAGTTTCCTTTTTTTTTGAAGGCATTCCTTTCCTGGTCAGAATTTACCAATAACCTATGGCTGCAGACTAGTATTTACTTCTTATCTTTGCATGTCAACATCGTGGTAACAATCTCTAGCAGAACAGCCATAAACTTGACCAGTGATGTGTTTTCAGCGTGTTGTACCTAGTCTTACAAGGAGGACGCTGCTGCCTTCAAGAGACGTTGACAGACACAGTATCACCTTTCCAATATCTGCTTTTTCCCTCACTTGCTTTTCTTTTTCTTTTTATCCAGTTTGTCCATCTGGAACCACTTCACGTGATGTTTTACAGGTTTTTCCTTGCCGTAAAATATATCTGAAGTTAGCAGTGCTTTTTTTCTAGTCACGATAACTACCTTTTCTCCTAGAGATCTCTTTTAGGCATCTCTAGATCTAGAGATCTAATATAAATCTTCCTAAAATAACTGAGTTAGTATCTAATTTGAAGACACTATTTGGATGGATCCAAGTCTYGTTTGGATTTCTTTAAAAACAAGTTTATTTGGTAGGAAGCAACCCAGCAAAACGTGCCCCCTGTGCCGTTTCTTCCAACTTGGGCTCGTGGYTTAGCTCCGAGCCTGGTTTGTTTGCTCCAGGTGTCAGTCGTGAGGAGGGAAGCGGTATTTTTAGTCCTGACCTAGATTGGGGAGGGAGGAGGGGCCTGCGTGGAGGTTTGGGAGGTGTCTCCTGCCCTTGCGAGCGGGGCCTGGCGCTGTGAGCGCGGGGACGCGGTGCCACCCGAGCCGCGGGCATTCGGCGCCGGCGCGCTTTGCCTCRAGCAGCCCTTCCTCCGCGCTTGGTGTCCGGCGTGAGCAGAGCCCCCAGTCCCTGCTCCGCTCCGTGCCGGTGTGAACCCTTGGATTCCACCTCCGGTTTTGGCTGGGTGGGAGGGAGCCCGGCCACGGGACGGACCTTTGGCTCTCGTTTCCCGCCGCGTGGGCGCGCGGAGCAGCGGCAGCACCGYGCACGTCCTCCTGCACGGGCAGCGCTGGGGACACGGGCTCCGCGGCCATCCCYGTCCCGGGGACCTCGTCCATCCTCCAGCCCCGCGCAGGCACGATGTCTTGGATCAGCTTTATAAATAGCTTTATTTGCTTATCGTAATCACTGGGAAGAACAGCGTTCTTCTGCTTAAAAGTTTTATGGATGCTYATAAGCTGCTTTTTTGGAGAACCACACACACAGAGAAAAGAAAGACATCAAAAAGATGTGAAAAATGTTTTTCTTGTGTTGAATTTAAATGAGACTGTTTTTAAAAGCATGGGAAAGAGAACCCGCTGAGCGGCTCTGAGGGCCGCAGCGCCGGGCACACGGGGCCGGGCCGGGGGACGCGCTCGCTCCGCTCCGCTGCACTGCGCACAGGGAGGGCTCCACCAGCCAAGGCAGGCGCCTGCTGCTCCTGACATGGGCACCGCAGCTGGACCGGCCCTTGGGGGGTTCTTTGGTGGGTGGTTCAGCCGTTAGCCCTGCTCGCAGCACCTGGTGAGACACAGGCTGGTACCAGATGTCCGTGGGCCGCAGGTGCCACCAGTTGAGCGTGACGAGGAGGGTAACGAGGGCGCTGCCCCGGGGAGGCTGTGCCGTGCTTGCTGTCCTGGAGCTGTCCCCGAGCGGGGAGCATTGCTCAGCACTGCCCGTCTGCAGGGTGGGTGATGTGATGTGATGTGATGCGTGGGTGGTCGCGGTGCTTGTCCCACTCTGCAGCCCATGTGACATGAGGAGAGCCCTTTGGTGCTACTGCTCTGAGCCCTGTGCGCGGCTGGTTGGGTGGATCGGCTGCTGTCTCCTGCTCTGCAGCAGTTCAGGAAAAGCTGGGCGGGTTCAGGAAAGCAAGGAAGGGAAAAGCAAGGGGAAGGGAAGTATCCGGGGATTGTGCGTCTTAACCGAGTGCGGATGCTGATGTTGGAACCATGTGAGGAACATACTGGTGGCAATATTACTGCAGCAAGGAGCCGGGAGGGGTAAAAGTCTATATTTACATAAAAATAGATAGCTGAGCAATTCCAGATAACACAGAGGTAAATAAGAATGCATAAAAAAAGGCAAGGAAGTGAAGGCTTAAAAAAAGAATCAGTATCTAAAGGAAAAATCAATAAGGCGATCGCGGAGTCTCGGAGAGGAGGCAGGAGGGGGAACGGCCCCGGCGCTGGAGTTGCACCGTGCAAAAACTTGATTGTCACCAGTGCRTGACAAAGGAGAGCGGAGCCGGCACCTGGAGCCGCGCTTCCCAGAAGAGGGAGGAGCAGCGCGGCAGGAAAGCGAGCGGGGAAGGGAAGCGCGGAAGGTGCCTCCGTGGCGGGGCTGCGAGGAAGCGCGTCCCGGCGGCGCGGCCCCGGCTCGGCAGGGCAGGAGCCCTGGTCTGAGCCAGGAGCTGCCGCGATACCTCTGTGCCCAGGCCTGGGAAGAGGGGCCGGGAGGAGCGGCCCGTGGCGCCGCGAGGACCCGTGTCGGGACAGGTGTCGTTCGTGTCTGTGCGTGGTGTGAGAGGAGCAGGGTGGGCGATGGGCCGAGCGCAGGGAGCAGCGGCTGGGCGGGCAGCGCAGGGAAGCGCTGGGTGACGGATGGAGCAGGGACAGGGAAGGGGAGGCGGCCCTGGCCACCGGGAGCCGGAGGTCCCGGCACGGAGCGGCTGCGGCTGCTGCGCTGGGGGGTCGCGGGAATGTCGAGTGCAAAAGGCAGGAGCGGGACGTGCTACCCGGCAGCCCTGCTGTGGCCTGGCCCCGGAGCTGACCCAGCGCCGCGGGACCGAAGGGAACGCCCTGGGCGGACCGGCCGTGCGAGYGAAGGGAAGGGCAGCGCGAGCGTGCAGGCAGGGGAGCGCCAGAGGAAGAGGAAGCAGGTGGCCTTCGTCAGCCACCGAATGGCTGCCAGCTACCGGGGGGACGTAAGAGGAAGTGCGAGGATCGAGGAGCAGCAGCGGGTTTTGCCCGGCTCTTCCTGCAGAGCTGGTGGCTGTGCTGGGCGGTTGGGCAATGACACTTGTTGGTGCGGGCGCAGTCCAGGCGAGCTCCTTGTGTGTCACGGGAGGAGATGGGCGGGAAGGCTCCGGAGAGCCGCGCGTGCCCGCSGCGGCGGCGAGCAGGACGGCGGCTCCCGTCACTGCCCGGCCCTGCGGCCCTGCGTGGGCAGCGCCGTGATGCTTCCAGCTGTGTCCATGGGTGCCGCCGCCGCTCCGGGAGGAGGCATGAGCAGGGACGCGACGAGCTCCGGTTCCGTGCACCGCGCCGGCCCCGTGCTGCTCCTGCTCGGTTCCGCGCGCGCCGGGCTCGCGTGTCGGACAGGGATGTTCCGAGGCCGTTGGTGGGACACAGACCCATTTCCGTGCCCAGGGCCCGGAGGAGCCGCGCACTTCCCGTTCCTGGGAGCTGCGGAGCGGCCGGAGCCGGCTCTGCTCCCAGCGCCTCCGTCTTGGGGCTGTCGGCCTTAGTGCCCTGTTGGGGGCACGTTGAGGTGCCGCTCGTGTGACCTCCGTTCTGGAGGATCTTGAGTTGCTGCAGGAGGTAACATGGGGGGGATTTARTGCACTGAGTTGTGAGGAAATAGCTCCTTGCTGCTGGGAAAAGCAGGATCCTCCTTGGATTATAGGAGGCGTCCGGCCTACAGAGAAGCAGGATTGATGCCGCCTACCCGAAACAGGGAGGGGAACGAGAGGCAGAACGGGCTGCTCTGCCTTCCTGCCTCTCCCAGCCCCTGCGGCCCGGAATGGGGAAGGGCAGAGGCCCTGGGGAAGCCGGTTCCTGCTTTTGGCTTCCATCCCTTCCTGGGAATCGCACCCGCAGATCCTTGGAGCCAGGGTATTGTTTGCACGATTCCTTCCGGAAAACTGCTGCTGTTTCCTAGTRGGCTGAAATCCCGGCTCTGCCTTCCCGTGGCTGCCGGTTGCCCTTGGAGGCAGCTGTGCCGAGGGTGCCGCGGGAGCGGCGGGGGGTCGGGGGAGCAGGAGCATCGCGCCCGTGTCCCTGCGAGCAGGGCGCAGCGGGACGGGCCGCCCGGGCAGCGGCTCCGCGGCCCTGGCCCGTGGCCACCGCCGGCATGGCCGGGGAGCGGGGTAACCCGCATGTCCGGGAGCAGGGTAACCCGCGTGCCGGAGCTGCCGTGTGGGAGCCCGTCGGGTCTTGCCCTCCTTCCCGGCCCCACGGAGCRGCCAGGGTGGCCCAGGGCGCCCGCCTGCCCTCAGAGCGCCCCAAGGACGAGCCCACGGCCCCGGGGCTCCCGAGGACGGCGGGGCGGCCCCGGGGCACCTGGCTGCCTGTGCGGGTGGTCGGGCTGTCCCCGCTCCCGGCATCCCTGTGCTCCTCCGTCCCCATCCCCCCGGCTCTCCTCCCCCTCCCCAGCTCCGCTCTTTGTCTCCTGCCTCCGCTCCCCCTCCTCCTCCTCCCTCCCTTTCTTCCTCCCTGTTTTTGAGGGTTTCTCTTCCTGCTGCCCTCCCCCATCCGCGCTCTCCTATGGGGATGGGGATGGGATGGCTCTTCCCTCCGCCCGGTCCTGCAGCCGCCTCTGGACCCGTTCCGCTGTCCCGGGGTGCGGTGTCCTGCCTCCTGCTCCCRTGGTGGGACAGGGCTGCCCCGGACCTGGGGGGACATCAACATGTCCCTGCGGAGATGCGTGGGCTCCGCGGGTGCCGCGAGGAGGACGCCGTGGGGCGCGTGGTGTCCCCGGGGACTGGCGGGACGGGGATGGGGACAGGGACGGGCCCCCATGGTCGGGGGCTGACGCCGCTCTCGCCCGCAGCCATGCCAGCATAGCCGCGCGCCACGAGCCATGGAGCGCTTCGCCGAGAGCGGCACGCAGACGGACGCCGTGGTGGTGCTGTCCCTGGCGCAGGCGGCCGTTCTGGGCCTCGTGGCCGAGAACGAGCTGTTCGGGGCCACCGTCAGCCCGGGCGGCTTCTTCCCGGGGCTGGGGAGCGCCCCGCCGGCGCCGGGCGCGGGGCCGGACCCGCCGGACAGCAGCTGTGTGCCGGAGCTGGAGCCGGAGGCGGCGCCGGGGGAGGCYGTGGAGGAGGAGGAGGCCGCGGAGGCTGAGCCGTCCTGCGGGAAGCACGCACGCCGGAGGAAGCGCCCGCCCGTGCGCCTCGTGCCCAAGGTGAAGCGCGAGCAGGCGGAGGCCGGAGAGGAGGAGGAGGCCGCGAGCGAGGCGCCCGGCGAGGATGCGGCGGAGGCGCTGCACGGCGGCCCGCCCGCTCCCGAGGAGCCGGCCCGCGAGAGGCCGGCCCACGGCGGCGCGCTCAACATGACCGAGCTGGGCGCCTTGGGCAGGAAGCCGCGGCGGCTGCGGCACCTGCGCCGGCACCTGCGCCAGGAGCTGCAGCTGGAGCTGGGCGGGCGCGCGGCGCGGGGCACCGAGGCCGCAGGCCCCGCCGCGGCGCCCGCCGAGCCCGAGCCCGTCAAGAGCGAGCAGGGCGTCGCGTGGCGCGGCGCCGAGCCCGGCGAGCGCAGCAAGAAGGCGCAGCTCGACCGCCTCGACATCAACGTGCAGATCGACGACTCGTACCTCGTGGAGGCCGGCGACCGCCAGAAGCGCTGGCAGTGCCGCATGTGCGAGAAGTCCTACACCTCCAAGTACAACCTGGTCACCCACATCCTGGGCCACAACGGCATCAAGCCCCACTCGTGCCCGCACTGCAACAAGCTCTTCAAGCAGCCCAGCCACCTGCAGACCCACCTGCTGACCCACGAGGGCACGCGGCCGCACAAGTGCGAGGTGTGCAGCAAGGCCTTCACGCAGACCAGCCACCTCAAGCGGCACATGCTGCTGCACAGCGACATCAAGCCCTACAGCTGCCGCTTCTGCGGCCGGGGCTTCGCCTACCCCAGCGAGCTCAAGGCGCACGAGGTGAAGCACGAGCACGGCCGCTGCCACGTGTGCGTCGAGTGCGGCCTGGACTTCTCCACGCTCACCCAGCTCAAGCGGCACCTCTCCACGCACCAGGGGCCCACGCTSTACCAGTGCCTCGAGTGCAGCAAGTCCTTCCACTACCGCAGCCAGCTGCAGAACCACATGCTGAAGCACCAGAACGTGCGGCCCTTCGTGTGCACYGAGTGCGGCATGGAGTTCAGCCAGATCCACCACCTCAAGCAGCACTCGCTCACGCACAAGGTGGGTCCTGTGGGCTGCACTTCCCCGCCGGGGGACGGGGAAAGGGGCTGGCCCCACTGTGGCTTGTGCGAGTGGGTGACGGGGCAGGCGCCTGCAGCTGCTGCTGAGGGGTCTCAGGAGCTGTAATGGGGCCGTAATGGGCTGCAGGGCACTTGGCATCACTGGCAGGGCTGCCTGGCCACTCCTGGGCTGCCGGCTGTGCCAGATTCAGCACATGGGCTGTGGACTCGGCTCRGAGCCCCGTGCATGGGAGCTGATGTCCCAGGACAGCCAGGCGCAGGCCAGGGCTGAACGGTGCTGTGTGAGGAGGAGGAGGCAGGAAACCCGCTGGGGAGGGTGCAGCCCGTGAGGGTCAGTGTCCCTCCCGTGCCCGTGTGCGCAGCCAGCACCGAAGCTCRTTGAGCCGGGGCGAGCGCCGCGCTCCACCCTGCCCGGTGACCGAGCGCGGCTCCCTGGTCCTTGCGCCCTGCCTGGTGAYGGGCACCAAGCGCAGCCCCCTGGTCCCGCCGTGCGCCGAGCCCGACCCTCGCACGGCCCCGCGGCAGCCCTGCCCTGCTGCTGCTCTGCCCCGCTCACGCTCTTGGTGGCCCTTGCAGGGTGTGAAGGAGTTCAAGTGCGAGGTGTGCGGGCGGGAGTTCACCCTGCAGGCCAACATGAAGCGGCACATGCTCATACACACCAGCGTCCGTCCCTACCAGTGTCACATCTGCTTCAAGACCTTCGTGCAGAAGCAGACGCTCAAGACCCACATGATTGTGCACTCCCCGGTGAAGCCGTTCAAGTGCAAGGTACCGCGGGTGTCCCGGCCGCTCCCGGGCTCTGCGCTCGCTCCCGGAGAGGCGCCAGCCCTTGGGGATGAGCTGCTGGCGGCGAGCACTGCCTCCCTGCCTGTCCCGGGCTGCAGCTCCCGCCCGGAGCCCGYGCCGGGCTGCCGGGCAGGGCGGTATCCAGAGCCCTGGGCAGCAGTGACGGTGCCCGCGCTGCCTGCAGAGCTCTCGCGTGCCAGCACTGCCTCCTCGAGGCCTCCCGTGGAAGGGTGGGAGACCAGGAGGAGGGAAGCGTCCCACTAGGCTTGGGAATCGGCGGGAATAACAAGGGGAGCCCGGGAGCGAGGTCTGACCGGTCCCCGCGGCAGGAGCAGCCACCGGAGGCGGCTCTTGGGGGGCACGGGGGGCGTCACATTGGGACCAAGGAAGGGGCCTTGCTGATGGGGAGCGTCGCCCTTAGGTCTGCGGGAAATCCTTCAACCGCATGTACAACCTGCTGGGCCACATGCACCTGCACGCCGGCAGCAAGCCCTTCAAGTGTCCCTACTGCTCCAGCAAGTTCAACCTGAAGGGCAACCTGAGCCGGCACATGAAGGTCAAGCACGGGGTCATGGACATCAGCCTGGACAGCCAAGGTAGGCGTCGGGGCCGCCCGTGTCCTGTGCCCGCTCGGGCACTCGCCGAGGGGCCCGTTCTGCCCGGAGCTGCCAAGGGAGCTCGGAGAAGCTTGCCCGCAGCCGGGCTGCCTGTCCCCTTCGCTGGGTTTCCCCACCTTCTCCCCCTGCCTCTTTCCTCACTGGGACGCCGTGGAGCGGGGCCTGGCCGGAGCCGGGGGGCGACGCGTGGCAGGGTGCGCAGAGCACAGGGCTCCTGCTGCCAGCCCTGCTCTGCGGGCGCAGGGAGCAGCCGGGGCCGCCCGCGGGACTCGCCCTTCCCTGGGGAGTCCCCCTGTCCCTCTCCCGGAGGGACACCCAAATCCCTCCGCTTTCAGTCCTTAGGGATACACTTTTGGACAGCTCTTGGCAGATTAGAAGATGGTGCGGGCAGAGCCTGCGTCCAAAGGCAGCGCTGCCCCAGCATCGCACTTCGGCAGCAGCCGTGGGCAGACGCAGCATCTCCTCTCGCCCTGTTCTAGATCCCATGATGGAGCTGGGCGGGACGGACGCCGCGGAGCTGGATGGCCAGCAGGAGATGGAGGACTACGAGGAGGAGAACTCGTACGAGTACGGCGGGGTGGGCGCCCCCGCRGGCGGGCACGCGCTGGCCGAGCAGGCCATGAAGGACATGGCCTATTACAACATGTTGTAGCGGGGCGGCGGCGGCGCCTCGGCCCTGCCGCGGCCGGGGTCTTCACGGGGAGGCCGGGGCGGCGCAGCCTTCGGGGAGGCGGGAGCGGAGGCCGCCGGGCAGCGGAGGCCGCCAGGCAGCAGCGGCTCCACGGCACCYCCGGCCGTGACGGCTCCGCTCCGGCGGGTCCGAGCCCGGTGTGGAGCAGCGGCCGCGCTCCCGCCGGTGCCCGGCCCTTCCCTCTCAGGGCACCCTCTTCCCCGCGGGGGCATCGGAGCCGCCCAACTCCCGGTGCCCCAGCCCGGCCTCCCRGGCCCCGTGCGCGGGAGGCTCCCCCAAGCTGATGAGCGTTGCTAATTACTCTACCTCGCGGGCCCTCCCTCCGCGGCTGCCGCCCGAGYCCCCCGCGGGGCCGGAGCCCCCGGCCGCCCTCGCGCTCCCGCTCGGGCTGGTTGCGCAGGGCTGCGTRCTGAGCAAGCGAAACCGCCGCCCCGCACCGGCCACAGGGCACACAGAATATTTTCGTACAAACTAATTGCTCGGTGGAAGCAGCAGCTCCGAGCAGAGCAGCTTTAGTGAGCAATGTATTTAAAGGAAGGCAAACCCTGTTCAACTTGAGCAAATGATGGTATTTTGAAAGTAATTTATTTTTTTCAGATGTGCCGCGTGGTTGGATTTATCTTTTCACCGAGTTGAGTTTCCTTTAACCAATGTTCTTTGTAACCCTGTGTACTGTGTGTAGTCTGTGAAGCCGCGCGGAGGGGGCTGCGCAGGGCCGGGGCGCTGACGGAGCCGGGGCAGCCCCGGGTGCAGGAGGGAGCAGCGTTTGGGGGGCAGCCGCCCTCGGCCCCCCCTGCGCGGGCGCTGCTGTGAGCACAGCCCCGCGCRGCAGGACCCAGCCCGGTGCCACGGGCTGCCCTGCGGCCCCTGCCCRCTGCCAGCCGAGCTCAGCGCCTGTCTGCGCCCTCGGGAGGGGA